ATATTTTTTACAACACCCCCTTTTAAAGACAGCTAAAATTTTCAAAGCCCCTCTCACCTCTAAAGATAGCAAAATATATTCTGAAGCCCCCCCCCCCGCTTAACTTTCCATAATTTATTACAAAACACACATTTATTACAAATCGTAGGCTAGCTAAAGAATAATGCACCATTAAATGTTTCTATACATGGTAGCCTTTTCAGAAGATGAAACAAATTTTTATTTATAAAGATATGGCAAAAGTTTATACAATGTTTTGGAGAGTGTCTCTCAGTATGAACCTAGAGGCAGTTCTTCTAGATCTTAAGGTAACATTTAGTTAAATCACTGCTTGAATCCCAAATGGGTGTACAAGAAGAAAGTGGCTCAGATAATGACACATTAGATATTTCATCCTGCACATCAGAAAATGATTTATCGGAAGACAGTTCATTTGATCGAGGACGTTATTGATAATTTTCTCAAATAAACAATGTACTGTGTGCAGCGCAAAATACTATGTTAAAAACTAATTTAAGATTTTCATGTGCTATCACTTTTTTCTGTCAAAAGTGATCCCAGTCTGCATTATTATAAATTACTGCTAACCTAAACCTATTTTCAAAGCCCCCCCCTTCCCTGTTTGTCATCAAGTGCCCCCCTTCCACAGTTGTTTTTTTTTAAAAGCCCTCCCCCCAGTTTCTCCTCAGGCCCCCTCTGAATAATAAATAATGAGCAGTCCCTTACTCCTATTCTTTTGGCAGACAACTTTCCTGAAACAATGACAATGATAAACATATCAGGCTTAGAACACCGAATTGAGCCAAAATGTAAATACACCTACAAGCTTCAGTTTATTATGATCTTGATTTTATTCTAAATCAATTATCGTAAAATCTTAATTAAATGTGTAAAATCTTAAATATACAGCACACGCTGCAAAATTTACAAAATGGCAGGGGCGTAGGAAACATCTAAAAGTTGGGGGGCAGGTTTCGAGGGGCACTTTTGACATGAAAAGGGCACCTAAAAGGGCACCTTTTTTTAGATGACTTCCCCATCTCAAAAAATTTTCCGGACATACCAAAAAATATTCCGGATATAACACATTTTTCCCGAAAGTGACAAAAATTTTCCGGACGTACCAAAAATTTTTCCAGAGATGTCATAATTTTACTCGAAAATAACAGAATTTTTCAGGAAATACCAAAATACAAAAACAAATACAATCATAAATCAAAGGCCATTGGGAAAAAAATGCAATCTAAACGACATTTTTCACGGAGGTAAAGGTCGCTTTGCTCCGGAAGGGGACTGCTCCCCCGGACTGCCCCCCCTCCCAAGTTGTCAACAAGTTTGGAACAAGCTGTTAACAACCCAGGGGCCCCCCCTGGCCCCCCGGTTCCTACGCCCCTGCAAAATGTTTAATGCAACGTGAATTTAAGATTCAGAATACACGTCCATAACAATCAGGCAACTGAACAAGCACTCGACATACAACAATCACTTCAGGCTGACAAATGAGAATGGTTCTTGGAAAAATTCAAGTAGATTTAATTTAATTCTATTATTGCAAATGCAAAAACATAATCTGTACTGTAGCAGTAATTTTTGTAATACTGCCAACAGCTCAGCAAATAAGGAAGTAAATAATTTAATTAAAACACTAAACCAGCTCCAGGAACTATATTGTTTTTGACTGGAAATAAGAGCAACTTAAGAATCAACTTGGCGATTATTTCTCACCAAGTATACACTCTAAAAACGCCGTGGTTAAAAATGTCCTGTTCAATCTAAGATGAAACACTGTTTGCATGGGGTAACTTAATCTTAATGTTTCTGGTTAACTTAAACACAGTCCTGGTTAATTTGATATAGTCCTGGCTCTCTCTCCTTCGCAGAGGCTTTTAGGATTAGTTTATAGAAAGAAATTCGTAATTGCGCCAAGGAACAGGTGGGAATTTTGTCTGAGCATCATCCTCGGTCTCAGGGCCTCAAGGCTGACACTAGGCAGCAAAGAATATTAAGTTCTCCCACTCTAATCTCTTTTGGATAGCTTCGCTCGCCCCAATTTTACATCCTGTTCCATTACCCCAGCACGTGTGTGATTTGTGAGGAAAATATGAGGGCCTGGTGGTCCTCTCCCAGAAAACATTTAAATTGTCGAGCGAGATGCTAACAGAATCTGAATGATTGATAATAGACAGCAGTGGACAAATTTACTGATAGGCTAACGGAACATTAACTAAATTCAAAGCCACAATTAATGCTACATCACCTTTTCAGAGTCTCCAGCAGTTCTCCATCATTTCGTTTCACACCAGCATCCATGTCAGCTGTTGTTAATACTCATCTGAATGAACAATTAATATTCCATAGTATTGATAGAATATTTAATGCATATGTGATTTGATTTCCTGGTTTAATTCCTGTAATTACATGCATCGTACCAATACACCCTTTCGATAATTACGTCACACATACATTTTGGTCTTGAAGCCTCTCTCTCTCATTAGTAAATTACGCAAGTTGATTAGCTCACGATTCATGAGGGCTAGGCTCCCAGGCCAAATGATGTAATTATCGAAAGGAGGTATTGCAAACTTAAGATATGCATCAGGTTGTCATGAAATGATCGATATACAAACACACAGTGTATAATCTAGTATGCATTACAATACTGTAATCTGTTATTATTGTCACTCGTCTGAGCTGTTGGAATCGCTGTCGCTGTGCTAATTAAGGGACGGACCATTAAAAAAGTGATGGGGGAGGGGGGGGGGGCAAAACCAAAAAAAAAATATTCCCAGAAAAAAATTAGGGGAAAAAATCTTTCCAGGTATAGTGAAAAAAAAAATCCTTGCTTGAAAAATATGCATATAAATTTCACTTAATTAAAAAAAATATTTCCAGCCATCAAGTGAGAAAAAAAAATTCTTCTATAGGTGTACAAAAAAAGTTATATATTTCCTCTTAGAAAATCCCCCACCCCAATCACTTTTCTAATGGTCCGTCCCTAACCAACGGGCTTAGGCACAGAGGGGCTCATATTCAGGGGGGAGCTTATGTTTGGAATGGCCTGAGCGTTAGTGAATATGGTGCACTTATACACAGCTGGGGATTATGCCGGGAGGGGGAGAATTATATCCCGAGGTTTACGGTACATTACTATCCAACGTTTCATATATCATACAATTCAAAACAATACTGACACACGGTCGAACGGTTCCAGAAAGTACCGACATCACCTTGGCCATCCTTTTCGTGATTGACATTAGGCTTTATAGCCAAAGTGAGATATTTTCCAGAAGGGTGTATTTTGTATGCAAGGATATACACTATATCAGCAAGATTTTAAAAACTTTATATCCAGGTTAATATATCCGGCGTACTTAATCGATGAAATCGATGAGTATCAATATCAATCAATACCAATCGATATTTATTAATCGATTGATATTGGAAATCGATGAATAATCGATGGCTTGTTTTGCTGTGACTTTCATCGATTGATTATCAATTTTTTATCGATTTTCATTGATGAAAAAATCCTCTGTTAATATGCATGCAATCAAACAGGTAACGCTGTAATTTAATTAATACGTACTTAATGTCGTAACAGAACAAATGTGAATGGAATTCAGCAATAATGGATTAAAATAAGTTTTTATCTGGCTATATACAGATCAAATACATGTGTACATTGAACCTTCGAAAAATGCATGGGAACAGATTTACTATTTAGCTCGAACACGCCGACGCGCGGCGACTATTTACGAAAATCGATAACCGATAAAATTGGCCATATTTTTTTGTGACTATCGATTGGTCATGGATTGACCAACGTCATGCAATCGATATCAATTAAGTAATTAACATCGATTACCATCAATTGATCGATAGTTGGATTTCCTATGATCGGTTTTCTCGTTTTGAAGCTCTCGACTAGATTTTTTGCAATCTTAAGTTGAAAATTTAGCTTTTTCTTAGTTTTTAATTTTAGCAAAATCACGATTTTTGCACTAAGTGTTTTCAAGGATTTAATCATAAATAAACTTTCTAAAGGTGTCGTTGGGTAAATGCACGAAACTACGGAAATTTTAACACCGTATGTTTTCTTAGTTTTTCAATTTCATCTGTCCATGGAGTCAAAACAACATCTTCGGAAAAAGTTAAATTTTGCAAATACTTCTTCGTATAAATAAATAGAGGATAATACACGGCGGCGCGAAGATATAACTTTTATCTTCGAGTGGTGAAAACACGAGAAAATAAAAGTCATATCTTCAAGCCACCGTGTAATGTTCTGTTTTTATATAGTCCCAAGCAAAAGTTGTGAAATTTCACGCTCAAAAGCAAATTGAAAAAAGTCACGTGATCGATATCTTCACCAGTGAAGATATGGAAAATATCTCGCTTTGTATTTTTCAGTGATCTGAATCTCACTCTCTACTATATAATACTACTTTTTATTATTTTAACATAAGTGTTATATAGAGTTTTTGGCCACTGAGAAAAATCGTATTTAAACACACGTAAAAAATACGATATTTTTACTTGTGAAAATATCATTTGTTGTAAAACGCATTGCCACGGACGTGAATAAATGAATTTAAATTCTTGCAAAGCTACTGTTTTCTTCCCAAAAAAGAACCCCACAAAAACTTGTTTTTGCTTAATCATTTTTGAAAGAATTTTTCTCGAGCGCCCGCAATTTATTGACCAGCGACAACAAAATTCCCACCAATTGCTAAAAGGGTAATATCAATATGAAAGTAACCGCTAAAATTCGGTGCGTGAGAAGGGATAGTCCTGGCTAACGACAAATTAACCAGGATTGTGGTTAAAATTACCAGGAAATTTAACAAGGAACATAAAGTTACCCTAAACAGTATTGATTTTAGATTAACCGGGAAATTTCATAACCAAGGTGTTTTTAAAGTGTATTAATTGGCAATGACATATTTAACAAATATAAAAAATTTTCCGTGTTGATATACAGTTATATCAACACGAGTGGAAATTGGGAAAACGAGAAACTGTGTGGAAACACGACGCCCGAAGGGCGGAGTGTTTTCACACAATTTCGAGTTTTCCCAATTTCCACGAGTGTTGATATAACTATATATCAATACGGAAAAAATGTTTTATATTTGTTTTATAATATAGCACAAAGAAACATAAAGAAAGAAATTTTCCGACGTTTCCGTGCTGACATTGAATTATATCAACACGGCTCTTAGCCAATCAGCGTTCAGAATTTACAAATGCTATATTATAAATATATATATAAGAACCATTCACTTCAGGCGCCTGAGATAAAAAGTAGTGCTTCTTTAATTTACTGCATCCAACGAAAATTACATTTCATTCAATGGACGATCAAGTATAATGTGGTAAAACTTAATTAAGTATGTGGTAAACATAACTTTAGTGCGCGAAAAATGCTATTAATAAACTATTGCACGTGATTTCACGTGATCTACTAAATCTAAAGTTATCTCAATATAGTCAAAGCAGTCAATTTACTCACAATCTGTGAAGATACGATGGTCTGGAAGCCCGGCAAACGTCAAAGCCACAAAGTAGAAGACCTTTGTTTGATGTTGAACTGTACCTCACCGTGCACAAATCCTTTGTCTCAACATCATTAAATATTATTTATCATGACTGCACGTTTCATCTCAGCTATCCCTATTGGACGGTTACGTAATTATTCGAAAATACAATGAGCTCAATCACCGTGAGCGAATAGAAGAGCTTTGTTTGATGTTGAACTGTACCTCACCGTGCACAAATCCTTTGTCTCAACTTCATGAAATATTATTTATCATGACTGCACGTTTCATCTCAGCTATCCCTATTGGACGGTTACGTAATTATTCGAAAATACAATGAGCTCAATCACCGTGAGCGAATAGAAGAGCTTTGTTTGATGTTGAACTGTACCTCACCGTGCACAAATCCTTTGTCTCAACTTCATGAAATATTATTTATCATGACTGCACGTTTCATCTCAGCTATCCCTATTGGACGGTTACGTAATTATTCGAAAATACAATGAGCTCAATCACCGTGAGCGAATAGAAGAGCTTTGTTTGATGTTGAACTGTACCTCACCGTGCACAAATCCTTTGTCTCAACTTCATGAAATATTATTTATCATGACTGCACGTTTCATCTCAGCTATCCCTATTGGACGGTTACGTAATTATTCGAAAATACAATGAGCTCAATCACCGTGAGCGAATAGAAGAGCTTTGTTTGATGTTGAACTGTACCTCACCGTGCACAAATCCTTTGTCTCAACTTCATGAAATATTATTTATCATGACTGCACGTTTCATCTCAGCTATCCCTATTGGACGGTTACGTAATTATTCGAAAATACAATGAGCTCAATCACCGTGA